TTGTGCCAAGGACTGTGCTGTCCAGTACAGAAGCCCAAGGGAAAAGTCAGTGAACCAGAAGCTGATTCCATGAAAGGCCAACAAGAAAAAAGAAAAAGTCTCAAATTGCCAAAATCATGAATGGAAGAGTGGACCTCACTACTGATCTTAAAGAAATTAATAGGCCATGTAACAACTGTAAGCCAAGATGTTAAATAACTTAGAAGAAATGGATGTGTTACTAGAAAGACACAAACTACCAAAACCAACTCAAGGAGAAACAGGAAGTCTGAATAGACTATAACACCTACAGAGATTGAGTTAATAACTTTAAAGCTTCCCACAAAGAAAACCTCAGGCCCAGATGCCTTCACTGGTGAAATCCACCAAACAGTTGAAGAAGTAGCACAATCCTTCAAAAACTCTTCTGACGAAATATAGGAGAGAATGCTGAACTTATTCTATGAGGCCAGCATTGCCCCGACACCAAAACCAGACAAGCACATCGTAAGAAAAGGAAACTAGACCAATGTCCCTTATGAATACACACGTAAAACCCTTTACAACATACTAACAAACCAAGCCAGCCACATAGAAGGTGATTATGCACCATGACCAAGAGGGTTAATCCCAGGAGTTCAGTACAGCAGCCATGAGCCATGTGTTGCTCTTTATTTTTCTATTTTTTTTTTTGGAGTCAGAGTCTCACTCTGTTGCCCAGGCTGGAGTGCAGTGGCACAACTATCGTTCACCACAGCCTTGACCTGCTGGGTTCAGGCGATCCTTCTGCTTCAGCCTTCCAAGTAGCTGGAAATACAGGCACACGTCACCATGCCTGGCTAATTTTTTGATTTATTGTAGAGACCAAGTCTTGCGAAGTTGCCCAGGCTGATCTCGAACCCCTGGGCTTAGTCAGTCCTCTCACCTCTGCGTCCCAAAGTGCTGGGATTACAGATGTGAGCCACCGCACTCAGCCACTCTTTATATTTAAATAAATTGAAGTGTAAACTCAGTTCCTTAGCTGCACCGGCACACTTCAGATGCTTAATAGCAGTACGGAGCACGTCCGTTCCAGAATGTTCTCTTGAGCAGTACTGGCTTGCAGCCTGTCCGCTTAGGAGGTGGCTTCTCCTGACTCCCCAATCAGGGTCCCAAGCTGCCCCACACTGACCCCCTTGCCCTCTCCCTGCAGGTGGCTGGGGGCCCAAGTCCCATCCCCACAGGGCAGCAGGTGCTGGACATTGACAGCTGCCTGGACGCGTCTGTACTGGACAGCTCCTTCCTCACACTCTCAGGCCTCCGTGCTGAGGTGAGGTACCCCCAGGGCCCAGGAGCAGGCTCGCGCCCTGCCTGGGCTGGGGGTCCTACTGCCTGGGGCTGCCCAGACTGAGGTGCTTTCTGTACTTCTCCACAGGCCTTTGCTGGACAAATGAAAAATGATTTCTTTCTGGATGACTCTAAAAGGTGGGTTTCCTAGAAATAGAATGTAAGCCTTGGCATAGGTCACTGTGCTTGGGGGTCTGGCTATGTGTGTCCTCCTCTGGTGTTTGCTGACTGTGTGTCTAGGAATGGCTTGCTCAGACGCCAAGTGTGTCCGTGTGTGTGCAGACATGTCCCCTAGGGTCCCCATGCTGACTCGTGTCACCTGCAGCCTGGTGTGCTGGCCATCCAGTGAAGGCACACTCAGCTGGCCAGACCTGCTCAGTGGCCCGTCCATCGTGGGCAGCAATCTGCAGCAGCTGGCACGGGGTCAGGTGGGCCATGTGCTGGGCCCAGAAGAGGACAGCCTCTCCCTAGTCAGCCCCCCGTCGCTGGCCAAATACTTCTCAGTGTCAGGTGAGCTGTGGACAGGGAGGAGGGAGGCCCCAGGAGGCACCAAGGCCCTCCTGAGTTGCTGAGCCCATCTGACACCGCCTGTCCCTCTAGATGAAGACCTGATCCAGCAGGTCCTCACCGAAGGGGCCGGCAACCGGGCCCCCACCCAGGACGGACCAGTGGAAACCGACCTGCTGACTGGCTTGTGAGTGCCCAGCTCCCAGGGGGTGTGAAGGGTGGGAGCAGCTGGGAGCCCGGGCCAAGAGGCCCTGCTCTCTGCCTAAAGTGGGGCAGGGGCTCCCCTTGTGGCAGGCCATGGCTGTGGTCCTGGCCCTTGGCTGTTCTGAGCCTCCAGTTCCTGGTCTGTGGAGAGGAGCTCATGGGGTCACCCCGGGCCCCAGACCTTCTCTTGAGGGGTCAGCAGGAGCATGGGCATTGAGGAGTGACAAGGTACCCCATGGAGGCTGGCGGGACCTGGCATGAGAAGGAATTTTTATTTTGGTCTCAGAGCAGTGAGAAATTGTGGGCTGGCTTTTAAATACCCGCTTTTTTTTTAGGCCATTTCGAGTAGTTGTATTTTAAATAATTCCCCAATTTCATCGTTTCCAATTTAGTAACAAAGATTCCCATACGATTACCCCAGACAGTCACGCACCTAAGTCAACAGTGCATACATGACGGTGGGCCCCTAAGATGGTAACACTATATTCTTACTGTGCCTTTTCTGTGTTTAGATATGTTAGATCTGCAGATTCTTCTAGGTTTGGGGCAGGCTGTGCCATCGAGGTTTATGTAAGGACACTCCGTGATGCTCCCACGATAAAATCCCCTAATGACGCATTTTTCAGGACATGTCCCTGTTGTTAAGCAACATGTAACTGTACTTTTCTCATGCATATCTATTTTAATCTCTGCACTTTAATTTCTTTGAGCTCTTCTAATTTTCAAGCAACCAGAAGTTACTGAGATGTGAACTGTCCCAGAGCACAGGCAAAAAGGGAATCTTCCTAACCCTTTTATGAAGGCAGATAACCGTGACATGAAGGCCTTTTTATCAAGAAATTGCCAGTCGATTTAAAACATATGTAATATGGAGAAACACTAGGGTAGTATTTATAAGCCAACCATCCCAGATGTCTCCAGCCCAAAGCTCTTCCTGACATCCAGATTGGGACTTCGGCTTGCCTGTGCCACCACGCATGTCCAGCTGCGGCATCACAGAGCACTCGGTCCCCACCCACTGCCTGAGACATTCTCTCCCCCGCCATCCCTAGCTCAGAAAATGGCGATCGCACTCCTCAGGTTGACCAAGACAGAAGTCTTGAGTTCATTCTCGACTCCTCTCTCTGCACCATTCCTCAAGTGAGCCTTCAGCAAATCCTGTTGCCGCTTTCCCAGTGTGGAGTCTGGGCTTCCCTGCATGTGCGCCTTCTGACCCGACGTCACCCCCAGCCTGGGCCCCCAGCCTGCCCAGTGGCTCTCACTATAGTTCTTCTGTCTCCTGCAAGCTGCCCTGAGTCAGACCCGTCTCAGCCACTTGTGTTGCTCTAAAGGAATGCCTGAGGCCGGGCAGTTTAGAGAAAAAAAGAGACTCGCTTGGCTCACAGTTCTGCAGACTGTACCAGAAGCACGACAGCAGCATCTGCCTGCTGAGGGGCTCAGGCTGCATTTGCTCTTGGCAGAAGGGGAAGTGGAGCTGGCACATCATAAGGTGTGAGAGGGAGCAGAGGAGGCACCAGGCTGTCTTCAGCATCAAGTTCTCACGGGAGCTGAGAGTGAGAATGCATTCCCGTGCGCACAGTTCCAAGCCATTCACAGGGGATCCACCCCCACAACCCAGATACCTCCCACCAGACCCCACTGCCAACACTGGGGACCAGATTTCAGCTTGAAACTTGGGGAGACCCGACAAGCCATGTCCAAGCTATGGCAGACCTGCCCCTGTCCCTGGGGCACACCAGTTAGCTATTGCCGCATAACAAGTACCCCAGAACTTGGGGTGTGAAACAGCTCAGATGGTGGGCCCAGCTCACGGGTGCTGGCCCTGGTGGGAGACTCAGTGCCCCCCACGCAGACCTCACCACAGGTCTGCTTGAGCGTCCTCCCAGCATGGCAGCTGGCGTTCCCCCGAGCAAGTAAGCCCAGAGAGCAGGGCAGAAGCCAGCGTTGTGGATGACCCCGCTGCCCTCTTCATACACTGTCACATTCAGGGTATCCGGTGGTTGCTCCGTGGGAGGGGACTGCAGGGGGGCCTGAGGCCAGGAGGATGTTCCATTGTGGGCCACACTGGAGCAGACACAGCAGCACCCAGTGGATGCAGGCCTCACGTGCTCCACCAGGCCCCTCCTCAGTCTCCTTGCCACCCTCCCACCCGAGATGCTTTCTTCCTGCAGCACCACTGCATGCATCCCTTGCTGCCTGCCTCTGTCCTGCATATCTGCTGCCCCCTCTGCTAGGAGCATGCCTCCCCAGGTGTCCTCATACACAGTGTTCTCTGGCCAGAGCCTGCCTTTCTCCTGTGGACGGGCAGGATGGGCCGCAGCATGTGTTCACTCACAGAGCACCCCCTCCACATCCTCCCCGCTTCCTGCATTGGCTCGTTGGTGCTGATGGCATGACGTGCCTCTCACTGGGTCCCCGCTGCCCACAGAGCGCCAGGCACCCAGTAGGGGCTCAGTGAGTGCTGAGTGAGGGAAGGAGTCGATGAGTGCCGTGTGGTGACGGCCACAGTATCAGCTCTTGGGCAGCACAGTCCCAGATACACTCCACTGTGGTGTGTTTGCAGGCACATATGCAACACACGCCTCTACGTGCAGGACTAGGACCACTAACACCACTGTTCCTCGTACACTGGAAATGCTGTTGTTCAGTGTCCTTCATTCTCACCCTAGTTCACAAATACATGATTCTACTCTTACAATCAGGAAAGTCAAATTTCAAGAAAAGATGGTACCTCCATTCCTTTGGGGTTCTGTGACCTTGGTCAGTGAGGGTGCCTTTTACTTCCTCAGAGACCAGCAAGACCACAACAGAGGTGGTCACGGCAGATGGCCGGGGACCCGACCATTCTATTGATGGTCAAGGGCACAGGGAGCACCATGAGGGGCGCAGCTCTCCATGGTTGTCCCCGCTCGGCTCCTCCTCCTCTTCACACTTCCTTGCTGGTGTGGCTCCTGAGCTCGTGGCTGCTCTGGAGTCGGGAAGGTTGGGATGGCGCCCAACTCTGGCGCAGCACCCTGTGGTCAGTGGCTCCTGGAGGCATGAGTAGACCTCTGGGTTCCCCGAGCCCTGTGTACTGTGGAATTTAGCAGTCGTTCACGTTCCCTTGTCCAGAAGTTGGTTTTAGACTGTGTGGAGGGCCTAGCGGCCGAGTGAGGAGGGCCAAGTGGGGAGTCCACTGTTGTCCCCTGAGAGACCCGGCACTGCTGCCGGGGAGTTGCAGGCCTGAGACAGCCCTTGCCTGAGTCAGGTCGGTGTGTATGGAAGTAAGAAGGCGGGGGAAGGAGGGGAGGCCAGCACTTGCCACAGCCCCAGGACCCCAGTGTCTGTGGCCTGGCCTGGAGGGACTGTTGTTGTCCCAAGTGCCCAGCAGGGGGCATACCGATTCTGGTTCAGGGCAGTGTCTTCTGGCTCCTCATGGGGCCCCACGGGCCCAGAGAGGGTGGAGGAACTGCCTGTCCCATGAGAGTGCTCTGGGTGCCGTGCCCTCCTGAGAGGGTGGGAAGCATTCATGGCTCTGTTGCGTCCCTCAGATCCAGTGCTCTCGGGGAGAAGGTGGAGATGCTGCAGAGGCCAGGGGAGAAGGGACTGCCCAGCCGAGGCCTGACCTGGGAACAGCCCCAGACCGCACGGCTCTCCGGGACAGGTTTGCACACGTGCGCCCAGGATGCCCCCAGCCCCTCCTTTTGGGCTGCTGGTCACACATGTCTCTGTGTCCCCAGGACTGGTGGAGGATCTGCAGAAGCGACTGCTGCCAGCTTGGTGTGCTTCCCTGGCCCATGGGCTCAGCCTGCTCCTGGTGGCTGTGGCCGTGGGGGTCTCGGGGTGGGTGGGTGCCAGCTTCCCCCCTGGTGTGAGCATCATGTGGCTGCTCTCCAGTGGCTCCAGCTTCCTGGCCTCGTTCCTCGGCTGGGAGCCCCTCAAGGTGAGTGGGCGGGCAGGCGGGCTGCAGGCCCCAGTGTCCTGGCCCCTCTGATGCCACTGCTGCCCCAGGTCCTGCTGGAAGCCCTGTACTTCTCGCTGGTGGCCAAGAGGCTCCACCCAGACGAAGACGACACCCTGGTGGAGAGTCCAGCCGTGACACCTGTGAGCGAGCGGGTGCCCCGGGTGCGGCCCCCGCACGGGTTTGCGCTCTTCCTCGCCAAGGAGGAGGCCCGCAAGGTCAAGAGGCTGCACGGCATGCTGAGGGTGAGGCTGGCCGCCGCCGTCGGGCCACCGTCCGTCTCCCACTGGCCGGGTGCCCGTGGTGCTTGCGGGTCCTCCTTTCGTGGCCTGGAAGGCCCTGCAGCCCCTGCCCGGGCCCTCTCGAGCCGCCCCCTTACGCCATCCGCCCCCGCTTTCCACGCCTGCCCCCCTTACGCCAACCACCCGCCTCGGGCTGACTTCTCCCTCCTCAGACTGATCGTGCCCCAGGCCCTTACACTGACTGCAGCCCCCACACTGACTGTGCTCCCCTCACACCATGGCCCCCCTTACTCCTATTCCCCGCCCTCACAGCTGCTGCCCCCCTTACACCTGCTATCCTCCTTGCCTTGCTGGTGGTCCACTCAAATGCCCGCTCTTGCCTGGCCTTGACTGGCCCTGAGCACCACTACAGTGGCCTGCAGTGGACTGTACGTCTGCCCCTAGACTGGGGCTCTGGTGGGTGTCTGTGCTGCCCAGCGCTCTCGGAGTCCTGCCCTGTCACCGTGTGCTGGGATCAGGCTGAGCGTGGGGCTGTCCCTGTCCCTAGAGCCTCCTGGTGTACATGGTTTTCCTGCTGGTGACGCTGTTGGCCAACTATGGGGATGCCTCGTGCCACAGCCATGCCTATCGTCTGCAGAGCGCCATCAAGCAGGAGCTGGACAGCCAGGCCTTCCTGGCCATCACCCGGTATGGACGCTACCACACACGCACATGCATCTACTGGGTGGGGTGGTGCTGACACCAACCAGGGCCCACTTTGAGTCCAGCCCAGTCCCTGGGAACATGTGGAAATGTCTAGATACATTTTTTTTTTTTTGAGTTAGAGTCTCTGTTACCCAGGCTGGAGTTCAGTGGCATACTCTCGGCCACTGCAGCCTCAACCTGCTGGGCTCAGGTGATCCTTCCACCTCAGCCTTCCAAGTAGCTGGAAATCCAGGCGCATGCCACCATGCTCAGCTAATGTGTTCATTTACTGTAGAGACGAGGTCTCACCAAGTTGCCCAGGGTGGTCTCAAACTCCTGGGCTCAGGCAGTCCTCTCTCCTTGGTCTCCCAAAATGCTGGGATTACAGGCTTCAGCCACTGCGCCTGGCAACATTTTTGCTTGTCGATACTGGAGTGGTGCTAGTGGCATCTGTGCGTGGAGACCAGGGACACAGCTAAACATCCCACAGTGCACAGGGCAGCACCGTGGCAGCATATACCTGCCCCAGAACATGAGGGGGTTGAGGCTGAGGAACCTGCGCCTAGCTTTGTCCCCGCAGGGCCACAGGAGCAGTGCTTTCCAGGCCTCTGGTGGCTTCTTACCCCAGTGGGCACAGGGAAACCAGAGCTAGAGTATGTGACTGGTGTCTGGCACTGGCAGATCTGATGAGTTCTGGTCATGGATGTCCCACGTGCTGCTCCCCTACGTCCACGGGAATCGGTCCAGCCCTGAGCTGGGACCCCCAAGGCTGCGGCAGGTGCGACTGCAGGAAGGTGAGCTGGGAGGGGTGCCCAACACTCAACCCTTGCTCTTCTCCAAGTTTAGCTTCATCTCTGCCACCTAGCTGTGAGAACTTCACCCTCTTCATACCTCAGTTTTGTCTTCTGTAAAAGGGAGACGATGCCTAACTTATGGCTGCTGGGAGGGCTGGGTGAGCGCGTGCAGAATAGGCTCCCAGCCAGGCTGGTGAGGGCTCCCTTTCGCGCTGACCCTTCCTCGGTCCGGCCGGCCCCTCTGCCTTTCAGCGCTCTGCCCGGACCCTCCCGGCGCAAGGACGCACACGTGCTCCGCTGCGGGAGGCTTCAGCACCAGCGACTACGGCCTCGGTTGGGAAGGGGCAGCCCACAATGGCTCCGAGACGTGGTCCTACTCTGCGCCCGACCTGCTGGGGTGAGAGTTGGGCCCGGGTTCTGTGCGGAGGGGAGGCGCCTCGCCAGTCTGGCTGCGGGCTGGCCCGGGCTCCAACGCGGCTGTCCCACCCAGGGCCTGGTCCTGGGGCTACTGCGCTGTGTACGACAGCGGGGGCTACGTGCAGGAGCTAGGCCTGAGCCTGGAGGAGAGCCGCGCACGCATGG